GTATTTCCATTCTTCCTGTTATTGTCCGCAAAGGGGGTTGGAGTGGTGAGGAAGACGAAGACGACGAATGCGAGCCCGAAGCTTTGCCGAGTTTTGCCGAAGCACACGCTGCATTGGCGAAAGTGAAGTCGTTCTTTTATGCGCATAGTATTAGTGAACGTGACGAGGAAAACCTTTTGAACGTGGAAAGTGCTCTGTTTGGTCTAAAACGTAAAGTTTCGACAAACCAGTTGTCCATTAAAGACTTTTTTGGTAAAAAGAAGTAACTTTAAAAGAGAAACATTGTTTTGTTTTGTTTTTAAATTTTTAATGCTTTCCCGCATCTATCGTTTTCCCGCATTCATCGTTTTTATTTCCCACCCCCGCCGAAAACGATGCATCGAGGTTTCACTGTAGTAGTAGTAGTAGTAGTAGCTTTTCAGCTGCCATGGATTAGACCCTATCAAGTGTTCTGAATCAGGACATTGTGAAACAACAATTAGATAAGTGTCAGGACTCTTTGAATGGGGGTATAAGCCCATAAAAGGTCCCTAACTACAAAGGAAAGCACAACAAAGCAGTGGAAACGTAAAGAAAAACAAACCCTCACAAGCACAAAATATACTTCATTCTCAGTTTCTTATGAAGTAATTAAATGGAACAATTCAATTCATGAGTTACTCATCACCCTGATGATGGAGGCAGCAAGGAGCTCTGAAACGCTGGTAAACATCTATCGGACTATGCAGTGTTACAACCTAGAAGCCACCTTCATACTTAAGGAACATGAGAACCTCAAATCCTACAATTCCTGTATTTATCATGTACATATTTTGACAATGAGAAAAATCTGACCTCAATATGTCAGCTTTCATTTCTGCCCACTGGCCTCTGCCTGTGTTACCTAACTGGAACATCAGTATCTCTTTCTATGCATTATTTTTTTAATCTCATTTTTTAAGAAAGTATTTCTAAAGTAAAAATTAACTTCTTATGATTGTTAGATTATTATACATGTACATTCATAAAACTCAAAAATTATCAACACATAAATCAAATACTCAATATTATATTTACAAAACACATCTCTGCAATCTTATAAGTGCTTTGTCATAAAAAATGTAAAAATCACATTCAAAATGCAAAACTTTCAACAGCATGGTAGTAGCCATCTAACATTTGTACAACTTCAAATCCTTCAAATTAAATGGTAGCACTATGCAGACCAACAAGAACGTTTTTAAAGCTCAGAGAGTAAAGTTAAATGTCACAGTACATGGTAATGCACGTACATCCAACTACAGTCAAATGCTGTAGAAATACGGTTGAACATCAGATTTTAATATTACAAGTTTATTGAACATTCTTACCCTTGGAGTCTTAGATTTATTCTTATCATCCAGATCTCTCATATGTTTCTTCTTCTTTTTCTTCTTTGATTTGGGTTTGTGGCTGTCCAAGTGCTGTTTCCTGAATACCCATAAATTAATATGAACAACAGATTCAGAACTACATAACAGATTAGTTTTTAACAATATCTTTAATAGTTTCCAGTAATAAAATTAACAGAATTTTCTGTAGCCAAGACATGCAGATGACTTAAATAAACACCAATACCAGAATGAGCACAATTTTGCAATCTCATCATCATTGTCCATATCTGGTTCTTCACTCATCACGGCACTAACAACTTCTTGAACTTTATCACATACAACATTACATCTCATCTTATTAACAAGAAGGCCAGATGCCATGATGCTACTACTACTTATTTTTATCCCTGTCCAGTACACACCATTCAGCATGGTGTGCATTGATGGTTAGCAGGATTCACGACCCATCAGTACATGGGTTCGATCGGGACCGCGACATTTAACGCTCCTGCTGTGACCCCCTTTTCGTGAGATGATGATGAAAGTGGAGTAATTGTTGGGATGCCACAGAGAAACCGGGGAAACCCCAGAGGAAAACAGCGTGATGCCTGGACCACGGCCTTGCCCAACACAAGTTGTAAATCTGAGCACCGCCGGGAATCGAACTCGGGACCCCAGTATTACAAGCCCAGCATTCTAGCCGCTAGACCACTGTGGCGGTTATGCTACTACCAAATCCCTATAATACACAGTCTGGTGACATTATGTCAATACTTAAAGATCCTATTCCTGAGGTCATTTACAGTCATAAATGTCATATGAACATGGGTCTGATGCTCAATAGATGAAGAAAGCTACCAACAGACATTCAAGATGATATGAACAGATATAAAAAACAATTAGTTATACTTCCAACATAATGGGGCACCCCACATTTCAGCAGATACATGACGGAGTACCTAAATGAGCCACTCCCTGACTGATGCACTGGCTAACATGATCATCAGACCTTATTCTGCTAGATTTCCATGTAAGGGGTTATATGAGAAACATGGCATATGAATGCAAAGTAAACATATAAGAAAAATTGCCCCAATTAATTTTCAAATGTCCATAGCTCCATATCTTTTGAGAAGCAGACCCATGTTCATTTGACATTTGTCTAGGACTAATGAAAGAAATAAGATCCTGAAGAATTGGCATAAAGTGGCCAGACACCATGTGTTATAGGGATTAAGTAGTTTGTACAATGGCACCAGATTCTACTCTATTCTTTACAGACCGTGCTAATGTAATATCGAAGATATATCTCCCACAATATGAATGTTATATCTACTTTGTAACTTTTAAATACTGGACACGACAGAAAAGTAAATTAAAATTTACCGTCTTTTCTTTCGTCCCCATGTTGAATCACTTTCCTCACTATCTGATTCCTGCCACAATCGGCGAGTCTTCTTACGACGTGGCTCTACACTTTCATCACTGTCATCATTAACTGCAAAACCAGAAACAAATTCACATTACCAAGATCCCTGGCAGAGTGCAATCCACACTTATGTGATACTGCTACAATGAGGCTATTAAAAAGTGTCAGACCAATTCTTCTTCTTCTTCTTCCATGGCTCTCCGGTCCGTATTCTGTCCACGGCCTCCTCAATTCTCCTCTTCCATTCGGTCCTATCCTCCGCTGCCTGTCCCGAGGCTTTGAAACATCTTCCTTTTTACGGTGCAAGGTTGTTAGCCTTGCGACCAACCCCCAACTTGGAGGACCAGGGTACCTGTCTTAGTCTGACCTCTCCCCCTCGACCAATCTGGCTAGGGAGGCCCTACCAGTAGCTATGCTACTGCCAGCTTAGCTCTTGGGGTCACTGAGGTACCAATACCTAATATAAATCTTTCTATGTTTCATGTAATTACTACACAAAATTATTATTCTTCTTCCTAAGACATTTCCACTTCGTGTGGTTCGTCTCTATGCAAAATTGCACTTCTAAAATTCAGCACAGAATAAACAAGATCATGCATGGTTTGTTAACCTTATGTGCCTGAACTGGTGGTTTACAGGTCTGACAACCACTGTTTCATACTCGCAATACTGATGGTTTGTTTATTTATTTATTTACAGTTTATTTAATGATGCTTTTTCAATAACTCCATACTGATGGGGCTTGGTGAGTAAGATCATACGTGCATTAGGGGTTGCCGGCAATTGTTATGAACAACAGAAAATGTCAGTTACATTGCATGGTACTAAGAGTAAATAAACAGGAACATTGTGGTTATTCAAGAACCATTTATGAATGTGAAAAATTATATAAAATATATCCTTTTTATAACACAGTAAGGAGAAAATAAAGGAAAGCAAATACGGAAATTAAATGGGGATCTAGAATATCCACAGCATATTGAAACCAGTACCCTCATTCACCCCAAAAGACATAAAATGGCACATAACTGACTTACAGATCAAGTTACAAAATAATGCAAAACTGGACCTTTATAATCATGCTCACCAATTTGTTACTTTTAATTTCAACATCTTGATTTTGAGGTACTGAACACATCATACAGTATGATTTTTGAAGACAGATTCATAAGTAAATGTCCTGAGGATAGTTAATAAGAATTCGCATACAAACCTGAATTTTCAAGACCTACAATGAAGTCACTTGAATGGTTTTAAGGCCAACCAGACTAACAAAATGTCTGAATGATCTCTGTAATTATAAGATCTACTTACTGAATTCTTTATCAAAGCGTGTAATGCGAGCACGTGTTGAACGACGAACTGGTTCTGCATTCCTCCGGCGCCGACCTGAGCCTCCGCGACGATTTCTACCCGCCACATCTGAGTCTTCACTCTCATCTAATTCCAGTTCTTCTTCTTCTTCTTCATCTTCATCCTCTGAACTAAAATATAGATACTAAAATAAATATGCTATAATAATGTGAAAGATAAAAGGAACAATAAGAATGAATAATCCTCAAAGGTAATGACAATGGTTTATTGTTGATAGTTTTTGAACACTGGCCAATCTACCATCATCGCAAGCATATCTGGATTCTTCTTTAGTAATACCAATAAGATCCTGCTATAAATTTTACTGAATCTCCAGAATGCCATTAAATAAATCTCGGTTCTTTGAGTTCAAAGTTGTGAACATAAAATGGCATAAAACTTAATACAGGAGAGTTCTACAAAAATTCCTAATTTTGTTAAAATCAAACAACAATATCATGTACTTTACATGAAGACCTACATGTGCCACTGAATGACAGACTGGGATAAAAATCTACAGGCTACCTTTTTCACCATGGTTAAAAGTCGAACGTACCAAAACTGTTTAACTATGCATGCATTTCCCGTCATTTTAAAAAATATTCTACTAAATTTTGATTCACAGTAGTCCACCACAATATAACACAAAAGAAATAGCTATGTCAAAGCATTGTGTAAAACCAGTTAATCAGAATGGTGCAAGCAACCAGAAGACATGCCTAGACATGTCTCAATCACGTGTCTAAACAGCGTGCATTAGCCTATAAATGAGAATGCAACCTATAGTGACAAGACAAAAGCTGTCTTAACTGAATGGTGTGCATCGAGCAAAACAGATGATCATAAATTACCTCTCAAAAAACCTGGTTACTATTAGAAAAGAATGCATAACAAAATACAAATTAACTTCAGAACAGTTTGCAGAAAAAAGTTTCAAAAAGAAATTTCTTAAATTTATTAATTTCCAGCCATACCTGCTTCCCTTGAAGTCCTCATCAGAGTCAGCATCATCTTCACTGCTGATATCAAGACTATTAAGGCGTCGATGTTTCTTCCTACCGAGAAACTTTCTCACTGGAGGAATATAGCCATCTTCCTCTTCCTCCTCCTCCTCTTCTTCAACTTCTGCTGCTTTTTCCTGCTCATCCTCCTGATCAGTTAATTTTACAACTAGTTTGTTACCCTGGCTCTCATTCCCCATTTCCTCCAATCCCACACCAGCAGCTGCC